CTGTGGGGGAAAATGTCTTCTAAGGATTTGTGCAGCCAGGGAGCAGAAACTGGAATGTGAACAAGTAAACAGGGGAAATGAGGGAGAGCAGAGTTAGTGCATTCCTGAAAAGCTCAATTTGGACCGTGTTCCATTTCAGCAATTTCCTCTCAGATTTATTTCCCCTTAACACAGTGGAGGTATTAGTGAAAGTGGCACACCATGCTTAAGCTGAAAAGAATGAGTGTGCAGCGCCCCTAAAGCACTTTTATTGGTTTCATTTGGACCATTTCAGTAGCTCAGCGCACAGCCTCAGAGGAATAGCTCAAAAGGGGACTGTCAATTAAAGGTATACGACAAGGACAGAATCATATGGGAGGGTTGCTCAGAGAAAAATAAGATTTATTTTACCCCTCAGAATTTGTTTCTCTTCTGGGCCATTGCGTCTTTTGTACCTTGAAATCTCTGGTGCATTTGCTGTTTAGCCCCCATGCTCTGTCTTGCCAACTTAATTTGAATCGGTGGAGCGTGCTTGTTGGACTTTAATAAGCAGCTGTGATGATGGAGGCATTTGGATGAGGCTGTCAGCGTGTTAGAGGGGGCTCCCAGTGTTGTGGGCGAGCGTGACACAGAAAGCGTCACATAGAGGATTATTCAGGAATCACAGAACGCAATTCCATCCACTAGTACTGTAGCTGTATTTGAAGTGTCAAATATTCACTTAGTTTTGTAAACAGTCTTGATTATAATCGCCTTAAATTACAACTAATTATCACTCACTAATGTCTCTGATTTGCATTTATGCACTTGTAAAAGCTGTGAGATGATTCTGTCTTTGGTGCAGTACTTATTTGCGGCTTACTTGGCTTAAATGTGTGTTTTGCTGGTCATAAATTGTATGACACGCTGTACAAGCACAACTTATCTGGTTGCTGTAGCTGAATGAAAGGGACAGTGGAAGACTATTTGGTGATTATAACTACATTACATTTTTCTTAAACCTTCCTTGTTTGTTAATGCTGCATAAAAGACCTCAAAGATAAAAAAAAAAAAAAATGACGGGCCTTAAATCTAAATTTTTAATTTAAATGTCAAAGTAAAAAATGTATTGGCTAAAAACATTGAACTTCACCCGAGTGAGCATCCCTGATTTATGAGGGAAAACTTCACCTTACCTTTTTGGGACAAAGAGGGTAAGGACGCCGTTATTCAAACAGTTCAGGTACAAGAATCAATACACACTGGACTGTGAGTTATTACTGAAGAAGAGATTAAAAAAATTTTCTTCTACTATCCAATTATGAAACTCTGCAGATCTTCACATTGTTTAAACACATTTTTGTCTATTTGTGAGCAGGCAAATAACAGCTTATTGTTCTATTTTATGCAAATGAGCCCAACAACAACAGTGCTTTCTGGCGCAGCGTCATGCTGGGAGCAGTTGTTTTATTCATGAAACATGGAACATGGCCTGTTTGTCTTTAATGTGGCCTAATAAAAGTGCCTGCATATTTTCCGAGAAGTTTCCAAGGGGAAATGGTAGTTGTATCTGGAAAAACCTTTCTCTTCAGCTGTGTATTTGGAGGCATTGGTTATGAGTAAATGCTGCATGTTTCTGGGGGACATTTGAGGGGACAGATTGAATGCAGTGTAAAAGGTCCCACAGACAATTTGAAGATGAGATGGTATTCTTTTATTTTGGACGAACCATTGGCTCTGGCACACTCACTTTATGCAAATGAACATTTCCGCAGACATCTTCATTTTCAGAAGACAACATAAGGCTATGACCAGTAAATGGGTGGTTGAACCTTTTTTGCATGAAAGAGCCTTTGGCAAAACAGCAGTCAGCATCTCGGTGTGTGCAGTGTTCGTGAGCTTTCGTACACTCCTGTGTGTAAGCCTGCCAGTGGCATCGGCTAGACTTCTTCCTCCTCTCTGGCTTTGCTGTGCACAGACAGCTCGCCCACAGTAGCGCCAGCTCACTGCTTGCCTTAATATGTTTTGACAGAGGAAGCATTATCGCAGCTCTCGACGCCCATCTGCAGCACTGAGCATGAAGTATAGGCACACCCAATGTTTATGGAGGTTTAAAGGGAGCCCTGGTTGCTCCCCAAGACTTTCTGAAATGATCTGGCCCATCAACGGCTTTGGGGTATTCTCACTGGCAGAATGTAGCTCGCAAATTAAAGCCACAAAGATAAGGAAATCTCTTGCGTTGTTCTCTGTATCAAACCTATGCAAATACCATAAATGATAATTCTAAGTAAATCTTGTTGTTTCCTCTTATGTAATAGAATTTGTATCCAAAATAAGATCACATTATTGAGCAATGCCCTCAACTGTGTATTTTCTGCAGCTGTACAGCTTAAAATGTGACAGCAGTGGCACTGACGCAGCCTGGTGTTGCATTTATCTGCTCTGTTGCCAAAACTTCCACTTTTTCCCTCTTGATCTCTTTTTCATCTCAGTGGCTGGAAGTTACTCATCTTGCAGAATCTGGAATTTGTTCAAGTTTATGTGCCAAGCATTTTCAGAGTGGAGCGCTTTAGCAGTTACACCCAGTACTAAGCTTATAGTAACACTGCAGCTCTTTTTATGTGTTTTATATCCCTGAATTTTGCTGCCCCCTCAAAATCCAGCCTGAACCTAAAACAATATATGCAAATATTCAATGTAAATCTGAAGCCACTCCAGTTGGCTAATCGTGCTGCAATAATTTCAGAGCTCTGGCAATGGCAGAAATAAACTGCATTCTGTAAGCATATCTATTGGCATGTAAGATAATTATAAACTGGAGATGAGAAAAATGAACCAATCAATTCTGAATTCATGTCTGGCCCAAAGCAGGATGAGCTGGCACCATGCCAGTCGTCAATGCTTGGTTGTTTTTTACGCATATTATTATTATTATTATTATTATTTTATTTTTTGCTTCATTGGAGCATAATTTGTCTTATTTGGGTGGGATGCAGGTTCCTCCAGCTTTTGTGATGTACCTGAAGCATGGAAAGGAGATGAGCCGTTTCTTCAAGGGTACTGCATTAGAATGACCTCTCAGATGATAAAACCCACGGTTATACCACTATATGTGCTATTAAATATACAGCACATTAAGCCTTATGCAACTTATACATTAAGCCATTAACCGTCTGCACTGGCAGATGCATGTTTCTTGCGTGTTTTTTGCCCACACAGTCTGCAGTTCTGTGCTTCACCACAAAGTGTCTCTGTGCTCAAATCTGCACCTCCACACCTGCTTCTGCTACTGATGAACGTGTCTGCATCCTCTTTCTATCATTCTCTGGCATTTATAATCTTTCTTTTTTTAATGACTTAGATTTCCTTGCACTCACCTGAAACCAGTCCACATGCACACAAGGACTTACAGGACACGGTCTACAGCGGATTTGTTATTTCACATGATTAAATGATGCCATGTTGTTCATTGATCAGCATATTTTAAATCCCTAATGAAATGCATTATAGTTTTAACTGCTGGATAATGCTGTTTCCTATTAGGATAGGAGTGAAGGTGGAGAATGTATTTATCATTATTTATTTATACAGATGAAGTTGACTTGGTACACGCACGTAACATTATTGCTAATGCTTGTACAGGCATATAATTATACACACTTACAACTTGGGAATAATCGGTACACCAAGCTGCTCCACTGGAACAGTCAGGGTTATGTCAAATATATATTTATACCTTATACCAACTGTCCATGATTTTTTTTTTCTCTCATCTCCCAAATTTTCCTGTTGGCAATTACATATGCCGCCCTCTCTTCACAGACACACCTCTCTAATCCCAAGGTTAATATCAACAGATAATTTAATGTGTTTCCTGAAGGCTGAACTCAAAATGCCATGTGCAAATGACTGTGTGTACTGTGTGTTTCCTAAATGCATTACTAATGGGAGTTCAGCTCATGTGGCTGCTCTGGCTGCATTAGAAATAAATTGCATCCTGTAAGCACATTACTGTCAAGGGACCTGTAGATTATGAACAGGAGATGAGAAATATGAACCGATCTTTACAAATAGCGGCTCTGAATTCATGTCTGCCACAAAAAGAATTGTTTTTAAGATGGCAAAACACAGAAACATCAGTAGCATCCATGCATCCCCCACCCCTAACACTCCTTTGTGCAACTATAGCTATACCTGCAAGGCTACTGACAAAGAACCCTCACTCGTCTCAGGTTAAGATTTAAAATCAGGATTAATATTTCATGCCTTCTATGTTTGCTGAGCGCTTAAGCAAACATGGGAGGCACAGTAGGGAGAGATTGTTCACAGTCCAGTATGAGTGATGTTTTCCCCCGTTTGCATGTTTCATTAACATGGTCCAGTTTTGTCAGCTTTCTAAACACATGCAAGTCCAATGGAATGGAAAACAAATGACGCCTGGCTAATCGGTGATGGTGCAGGTTTAAACTGACCAGCTATGGCATGTTAGTGGTAGATTTTCCCACCCTCAGCCCCAGTGTATGATGTGAGATGCTCCAGCCCTCTGTCACAGTGAATCAGTAAAACCACTCCTCCTTTTGAAGTGTCAAGTTTGTGATTGCTCTTGTGGCCCATAGGCTGTGAAATGAGCGATGCTGGCAAACTACCAGCTTTAAAGGCATTTTTACATGTTGAATTTGATTGATACATGTGTATGTTTCACTTTTCATTCACTTAGCAGCCTAGTCACCAGGTGGTTTTGAAAACAGCTGCTCACTAAGCAGTTGCCTAAAAAGGATCCACCAAATGGCTGATTCATAATAGCCTATTTAAATTATCAGTGTTGACATAAGTTACTAAAAGTGAGATGCACATGCCTCTAACTTTCTGCCTTGTAGACAGGCCTACACCTCCAGGTGTCACGTGTGTGTCCATGCAAAGTATGATCATGCCATGGCGTGTTTATCTAGGCCACCTGCTCATTTGTCTGTGGCATCTAATTATTCTGGTGATTCGTGTCTGTAGTCAAATCGACGACTTAAAGAGCTGATGGTGAGGGCGACACGATTCCATCTTCCCCCTTTTAATTATTAAGAGATGAATGTGCTTTCGTGAAAATGGAAATTGTAGCCTAATTCATTAGCATCTAGGCTACATCATATGACAGTATAGAAATGAAGACATGGCGATGTGCAAGATGAAGGTGGTCTGACCGAAAGGATTCGCGGATCATTACATTTGACCATCTTAGTTATGTAATCTTTTGGGGAGCCCGTTGGGTTGGCCGAGCGGTCAACGTTACGTCGTCACGACGTGTGGTTCTTACACACACGCACCGGGACTTCACATCTCCATCAGGGATGGAGGAGCGCCCGATAACCAGGAGCCAAGCTGCTGCTCTCCTCACTGTGTCTGAGGACCCCGTGATGCGGCAGGGAGGGAGACGCTCTCCCTCCGCCTTCGTGCAGCAACAGTGAGACGGGGATGCGGTTTTCCGGCGGCGTCGGTCGCTGAGTGAGCCTGTTCTGACAGCAGGAGAACACACATTGGCCGCTCTCTCTCTCCTCGCTGGAGGTAGCACTCGGGAGGCAGAGAGCCATGGCAGGCGCCAAGCTGACGCCCTCGCCCTCGGAGATCGACCCGGACGTCAAGACCGAGGTGCAGAAAACTCCTGAGCCCACCTGGGTCAACCCCTCCAACCCTCTCCGGACCACGGGCTCTTTTGGGAGCGATGCCGGCCAAAGGTAGCTGCCGCAGATCCGCGCCGAAGTCGCATGTTTGTGAACGCAGCTCGCGTGCACACATGCTGCATCCGCTAAATAACATGATGCTGCGAGCGCATGGCGCATGAAGTCTTCCCTAGAACTTAGCTCGTAATTATCTGTCAGGCAGAAGTTGCGCCGTCATAAATGTGCCGTTAAATCTATTCACCCGTGAATTAATTGCGACATAAACGTTAAGCACCAGTTTGGTAAAGGCTAGGCTATGTTTGCTCCATAGGGGTTAAACATAAACAATGCAAACGCTTCTGCCAATGTCAGTCACTTTCCTCTCAGCATCACTGAGATGCATTTAATGGCTGCAGTGTAAAGTGATTACATAATTCAGTGGATGCTGCATTCCCATTACAATTTTATGAATCCTGATGTTCTCACAGGGTGGGAGAAATCTTCCATCACTGCAATCACGGCTGCAAGTTTTTTGGGGGGGATGTAATACAACCAGATTGATGAATACATAAAAGTACAAACCACAGGGGATTGTGTTGACATCTTCAAATCTAGATAAAAAGACTACATGTTATATTTCAACAGGTCTGCACCATCAATACAATGTGCATGCAGACGTCTACTGTCAGGACACTACCTACCTACCTTTTGGTAGACAAATTAGAGTGTGTGTGTGTGTGTGTGAGATTGGCCAAGCCCGTAACAACTGAGAAAGTCTAAATGTTGTTTTTCCTTTCAGGGAGACAAAACAACTTGAGACCTGCGGAATAGCTGCCATTAAAGCTCAGATTGGCACTAAGGTTATATGAGGTTGGTTTGGCTGAAAGCAGAAAGATTGTGCTTGTTTGGCAGTGTTTCAGAGACCACTGCACAACCAATATGCTGATGGTGCAGTGTGTTCTGTCTCAGTATTTACAGCACATATTTTCTTGTCAATATTTATTTGAGGGCATTGACATTTTTGGGTATGACCAGAAATCTGAGATCTATTCACTGAAAGATGCTGCAGCATTTAATGTGCCATACCTCTGTGTTTCTTTTAATTTCCCCACTTGATAATTAAGGCAACAACAGTGACATAGGGGGGAAATATTTAATCATATCTGCTTCATACAGAATGTCAGTGTTGTCAAACACGGTAAAGATAATTATATAATGCACAAACGCAGGAAAATAACCTGTAAATTATAGCCTAATAGATTATCACTTCATAACCATGATGCTCAACTCTGTGAAGGCTCTTTAAATATTAATAAAATGCATGGTCTTCCATCAATAATAGAGACCCATTGAGAAATCTTCAGTGTTGCAAATCCACCACAAATACATCAGTGCTTTTTAAATGTTTATCAGTCAACTAAAGCCATACAATCCTCCTGTAAGCTAAATACATGCCTGTGCAAAGCGAGGGCATGATGTCTCTAGCTTATTTTGGACAAGAGACCTGGAAGGATGTCATGATGTGTTGCAGAGTTGGCGGTGTTATGCCGTGCAGAGAATGCAGATGGATTGGCCTTAAAGATGGGTCAGGGATACTTGAGGCTTGAGATGACCCTGATTGAAGATTATCTTTCTATTTATTTACATTTTTGTTTTATTAATTACTTCCTTTTAACAAATACACTGTGGTGACTTTAATGAAAGTCTTTGAAAGAAATATTGTGCACTTTTGTTTATAAATGTTTGTAACTGTAATAGAGTGAGGAAGGTTTACCCAGTCTGAACTAAATCTTTTATCTCCAGCACCCTTTCTTTAAGTATGCAAAGGCGGCACTTCTCAAATGTTGTTCATCCTTCTAAACCTTCAGTGGTGTTTTTGATTATAGCCATCATTAGTTTGAGATGACAGCATAGCTCAGAGCAGGCATGCTATGTTTTTGTAAACACTAACAAGAATTGCAAACGCTGTACTTGTTCGGCTAAGGATGCAAAAAATGATGACTACAGTGAAGATGATAATGAGTTATGTATACTTGACTGACAACTTTGATGTTTATGTCAACGCTAAAGATGAATGTAGGTTTGAGCTTTAGGTGGCAGAACAGTCTGGTTTAGCTATTATTAGGATGTATAGATGGATGTTATGAATCTAGTGAGCTTGATAATAGAGTCGATGACAAAACCCTAAATTCTACCAATAACTTCAGCACTAGATCTCAGCAATGATGAAGACCGATATGAAGGTTGGTAATTGTGAATGAGGCAGCTGGTCATCACTGCTATCAAAAACAAGCAAGAATTAGGACACCGATTATAAAAACAGTGATTAGGGATGAAAGCAGGTGTGACATGTAGCTGCAGCTGCAATGGTATCATTAAAAATGAGCAATAATGAGCCTGGACTATGATATGTGCGATCGATGACAGTGATGGAGATGATGGAGCTTGCAGTGTTGCTACAGTGTACCGGAAGTGGTCGTAGTGATGATTACAGATCTGTTAGAGTGATCAACGTCTTAGTGGGCTAACAACTGGTCTGAACAGGCTGGAAGAACAGATTTGCTGCCAATCGGTTCTGAGAAGTCAAACAATATTGACTGTGGCTGTATTGCAATCCAAGACGGTTTGTATGGGAATCTAATACTCAATATTTGCAAATGACTGAGGCTGTAAACATAATGCATTAGTTGGCTAGTTGCCCTGGGCAACCACTGTCAACCATTTAGTGTGGTTAGGTTGCCGCTTTTGGTAATGCACTCTTATATATTAAATGAATGAATAAACGTTTGCATTGCATCGTCCTCCTTTACTTTTTCAGAGATCATAAAACTTATTTTATTTCTGAAGATCACACAGAGCTCCTGATGTTAGCAATCTGAGAGCTTTCTGGGTTGTGAAATGTGATTGGCGTCGGATTTGTGTCCAGCTGGCTCAAGAATGGCAGGATGTGGCGGGAGGAAAGACAGGATCAATAACCTGGCCCAGTGTATGACACAGCCTATAAATAATTGATTAATTTCTTCACAATTTGAAGCACCAGGGAATCCCTCTTCTGTTTAGGATTCTCTATACAATATTAAACACATCTAAACACTGTAGGCATTATAGAGACTAAATGAGACTTGGATGATCTTCAGGAACCGAGGGATGGAGCATCTTTTAAACACAGGATGTGGTCAAAACAGAGACTCGCGCACATTTATTTTGGCTTCATCCAGCCTCGCCAACGCATTGCAGTGAAAAATCTGTTTGGAAAATGGGCATTTTTGGGTTTTGTCTGTTGGTGTGTAATGAATCTGAATTTTAGAGCACAGTGGGAACTGTTATTACACAGGGTGATTTGAGTTTTTTTTGATAAAAAGCAGAAGTTTTGATTGACTGACATAGACTTTATACCATTTGCTGATGTTTGTGCAACACTGAGCCTTCTACACAGCTTACATGTCTGTCAGTCTAAAGCACTTCTGGTTTTTATCAAGTTGTAATACTTGTTACATTTTGTTTTTTATCATAGTTTTGTGCGCACAGCAACGTCCCCTCAGTATCAATTGATTAATTCATTGTTTCATTTTTTATATTTTTCTGTTTTTGCATTTATCCTTTAATTGACTTTTAAATGGATTAGGAAACGCTGGGACACATAGGGAGATATCATGCAACAAGGTCCTCTGAAGGATGTGAAGCTAAGCTATAATGGGTACATTATATGTGCTTCAGACAATGAGCTGCTAGATCAAGTGCAAGAACGGATTAGTGTAGCTTTTAAGAAAGACTTGGGAAGAAGTGGTATTTAAAGATGTTCATTGTCAGCACATAATATCAGTTTCTGGTAAATTAAATGTAGTATTATTTATCTATGTCAGTATTGACAAAAAAAGACAACGGTTTAACTTAACTGCAGTTCTATTACTGAGGTTCATGGCCTGTGGACTGTGCAGCTATAGGAGTCCACTGAACATTTTTTAAATAAATTTCCCTTTTAGTAAGTTGAGCTTCCACACTAATTTCAGTCAGTTTCATTGGGAATTCTTCTGTGCGCCAAAGCTGACTTTTGTTAGGTTCCTCTACACCCACACACCTGTTTGTTATCCCACTGCACACACATTGATGCAGTGATCCTTTTTTTTGCAATTTTGCAATATATTATGCATCCAAATGTTGAGGTTCCTCCCCACTCAATACAGTACAAGCTGCCTTGAGACATTAATCTGCAACAGATAAATGAGAATTTCTATTGGTGTAAGCAGTAGTCAGTTGGGAAATAGCAGGTAATGGACATGTACACTGTTCCAATAAATGTTGAGATTAATTTAGATGTAATAAAAGAGAAGCAGCTCTCTGGAATTAACGAAGAGGATGTGTTGTGCAGACTGCTTGTCATCTGCTTTCTTACAATCTCAACTATTTCATCTTCTCTTTCGCTTGCTTAGTACACCATGTTTTTTATGTTTAATTGCTTTATCATTAGTACGTAATGAAGACACAGAGGACTGTTTCTGCCATTTAAAAAAAACATGTTCATGTTTTTGTTGATCAGTTTTTCAGCTGACTACTTCACATTCTTTTCAAATTCGTTGCTGCTCACTTACACTGGACAACATTTCACTTTTTTTATTGTGAAGTACACATCTTCCTCCCTTTTTGTCTAATGTTTATTTATAGCGCCCAGCTCTTGCAGAATAATTACGCTTTCATTTTGATTGGCGTACCAGAAGTTTAATGAGGGGTTTTAATGTGGTCCTTGGGGTAAATTACATGTTGTTCATCATTATTGTTCATTAAACCAGGAGGAAGAAATCTCTTTACAGTATTTTATTTTTATTTTTGAGAGTTGAAAATTTAAAATAGCCCTGGTTGCTATGCATGCCCCTTAACAGACCTTAGATAGAAGGAGGAATATGCAAGTGGCCTCTAATGAAGTCTCTGTAACACTATGGGTGGCTGGCTGTGTGTTGTGTATATAACAAGTGTACGACGATCACATCCGTCTCACTTGCCTTCTCCTGTTCCTTGAGAGCATTAGTTAGCAGAGAATCAATTAGGATGTGAGATAATTCTAGTGAATCTGCCAAACT